CGGTTCTGGGTGTGGACATCAGATTTAGGAGAAATCCCCTTGCTGCTAATAAAGCAGCTTGACTGCGAACCATTGCAAACTAGTTTGTGATCACTGGACTTTTGGCCGAGTCTGTGGATCTGCTGTGGGTATTGAGGGATTGTGTGCCCTTTGTTGGTGAAGATGCTGTCCCTGCCAGCCTTGCTGTCACCCTCGGTTCCAGCTCTCCTTCCCTTACACAGGAGACTACTCTTCTTACTCTGGGAAGCAAGGAGTAACAGTAATCCTAATGCATTTTGTCTGGACACCCAAACAGGTAAGTGGGTTAAGGACTGCATAAATGGCTGTAGGTGGCCCTGCTTGTGTAGAGTGGTGGACAAGACGACCTCCAGAGTCCTTTCCAACCTCAACCATTCTGTGATTCTGTAATCTTCTCCTGTTATTTGCAGAATGAGCTGTTGTTTAGAGTAACCTTTATGCTGCTCCCAATTATTGCTGTTGGAGAAACTACTCTTTCCTCTCTCCTGACAAGCTATGACCAGGAGAATCTTGATACATGATGAATGTTAGTACAAGCAGAATTACCTTCTTTTTCAAATTGTCAGTTTGAATTAACCTCGCTGCACTGCAGTTTCATCATCAAACTTCTAAGTTTGTATTAAGTTTAAATGTGCTTATGTTTAAAATGTTAACTTGATTATGGTCAAGTCAATGGCAACAGATGTTCTCAATTCAAGCAATATATTTTTAAAGACTGTAATTCTCATTTGTGCGGATTAGCACTGGACCACAATTATAGAGCTAGATACATATATATATGTAATTTTGCCTATAAAAATACTTTTCAGTATTTGATACAATACACGCTCTCAGTAAAAAAGTAATAAAAAGAATCCATATTACCCAAGTGAATTGTCCTTATGTTATTGATTTAAATAAATAAACCACATCAAAGTATGTCCCTCTTGTCTGTTAAGAGTAATGAATGCATTTGAAGTTCTGCTTGTCTGAAGCTTTTATACTTTGGAGCACTGAATTAGTTTAACATGTATTAAATTACTTACAGTGAATCCTCCAATTATATTAAGACACAATCCTTCATTCAGACAGCTGATGCTGAGCAGCCTGCAGTAGTCAATTACTTCCTCACAGTTCCTTCCAGTGAATCCTGGCATACAGCTGCAAATACACCAGCATATTAGAGGACTTGTATTTTAAAAGCTAATTGTATTTAATTATTTTCCACAGTTCTATTAAATAATGTTCTTGCAGTAACAAAACCAACTTTGTATGTTATTTAAAATAGTCAGACAATTAAAAAATCAACTGCATGATTCTGGAATTTTTGCTTCACTATGAAATTTTTTTGCATTGATCAAAACATTTTCACACCAATACTTCATATAATCTTCCAGAAACATAAAACAATCTAGTATGAGGTAATATTTAGTAAAAAGCTGTAAATGAGGGTTTGGAAATCTATTAGAAAGGACAGGTCAACTAAACCATCAGAGAGAAAAATTAGAAATATGATGATAAATGAGGTCTAAAGTACTCAGCATCAATCATTATTAATGACTAACAAAGACTAGTCAATAATTACATGCTTAAGGTATGTAAGGAATAATACAAGGAATATGTGGAGAGAGTAACACATGGTTTATTGTTTGCTTAGTTGTAATTCAGTTTTTTCTTTAAAAGAGAAAACTAGCATTCTATTTTTATGACAGTTTGTTAGTTCCATGTGATGCCAATGGAGCCATGGGTAACTACGGTATGGTAAAAGGAACTGCAGGCATTTCTTCTGCTTCATGTCAGAACTTGTCATTAGTAGAAGAAAACCTTTTTCTTATCCAGCCCTCCAGTGTTTAACAAATCCTCTGTACACAAACAAAAAAGATGAGATTCAAATGTACAGTAAACAAGTCTTATTCAAAAGCAATAGAAAAATATTTGAATATGTATATCTTGCTCAAAATGTGCAAAAAGTAAAATCCAGACTGCAAAAACTTTTTTTCATGTTTTGACAGATACATAATACTTGTCAAATTCACTCAGTATTTACTTGCAGACATGCTTAGCATGTTCTTCTGTCTAAAGGCTCCTTCTGGTAGCATGGAAAGAAAAGATTTAAGTGGAAGAGAAAGATAATCGCCAGTTGCCAGAAAATTTGTATTTGTGGCGGAACCCAAAAGTAATAGATGGGAAGTTTCTTTAGCTCTTTCTGAGGGGCACTTTGTCTACTGACTCAGATCAGATGCTGCAAATCAGGAAGATGATTAAGAATTGCTTCTGGTTTTTTTCTATGCTCTTCTTCTAATGGATATAAGACTCGTTCATGCTGCTTATGTTTCCCCATTTTAAAAAATAATGCCATTGCTGGTTTCAGAATGCATGAAGCCTCTCACAGTTATCTAGCACAAGTAAAGGATATATTATCAATAGCAAATAGTCAGTCAATAAAAACTAATTTAATCATATTTTCTAACTCAGTTAAGGTGCCTAATCAGTGGGTATGGCTATGCCTACGAGGGATGTACAGATGCACCTAGCATGTCCAGCTTAAGTCACTTATTAACCCTTGGTGAAGCGTCAAACCAGCTGGATTTCACCAGAAAGCCCTGGAAAGCATCCACACAGTCCATATGTAGGTCCATTTGGACAGAGGTAGGTGGGTATGAGAAAGCTTTCTCTAAATAGTTATATTCTTTCAGGCTGGTATAAACACAACCACAGGAGGATACTCTATGCAAGTAGCAATGGATTACGTAAATCTCAGCCTTCTCTTGAAAATATTGCTGTATGTAAATCCTATAATTATGTTGTTACCATTTGAAATACTTGGAATCCAAGCTCTTGAAAAGTCTGTTCTTAATTCATTTCTGGTTCTCATATTGTAGCTAAAAGGAACTTTTCATAATACTTATCTGCTTTTATTTACGAATGTTACTCAATAGTTACACATGTATTTTTTCCTCTAAACAGAAGTACTCATACCAACAGATAGCATATTTGTTGTCCTCTGTGTTACAGCACCATTCATCCATACGTTATAATTACATATCAAAGGAATGTCAAAGTAAAAAAAAAAAAAGTCTTTTGTTATAATTCCATTTTTAATCAACACTTAATACCAAGTCAGAGCAACTCAATTGTAACATTTGTTTTACTGGTTTGTCTTTACCAATGATCTGAAATCAGGTGAAAAAGCTCCTACTTTTCTCAGTTCAATTTATTTGGGTAATCAATGACTGTTTCATAAAATAGATTGTTTAGTAAACCAATTTTGGAAGCTGCTTCTTCTATTTTTAAAATTTACTCATTTTTCCCATTTTTGTTTTTGATGTCATTTTGCAATAGACATACCGAAGTCAGAAAAGGTAAAAGTAAAATAGCATAACAAAGTTGACAGTACAGTTCAGAAGAAGACACCAAGAGAACAAATTTTCTCAGAACATTTTGTGACTTTTTATGTTCCTAAAGAACACGGATAATAGAAGAAACAAAGTAAAAAATCATGCTTTATTGTGATGGATATCCTTGTTCACTGCCTATTTGAAATCACCTTAAATTTTGACATTCAAGAAAAAATGCTACTGTTAGATTCTAAGCACAAAGCTGTACATGATAGCAAGACTGAAAGGATGGAATTAGGATACAAGATAGTCATACATCATAACTGAAGTGGAGAAAATTAAAATTAGTCTGGTTGGTTGCATGTTTAGAATTGAAAACAACTGCTTTCCCAAAGAAGAAAGGAGAAGTAGGTAGAAGCTGAGATGGTGATGGATACAAGCAGAATGGAGCTTGGGCATAAGGAGAAGCACATAAAATAGGGACAAGAAAACAAACCAAGGAGTAAAAAAGGTCAGTTCAGCTATTATTTGAATTTGTATAGGCATGTAAGCTAAATGCCATTACATTTCTTCAAGATGTTAAAAAGCTATAAAAGTGGATCAGGTAGCAGTATTACACAAATAAAACATACGCAGTTTTTTGTAAAGTAACCAGACATAGTCATAACATACAGTATTGGACAATGATTATGAAAATGAAACAAAACTTCTGCTTAAAACTTTGAATGAGCAGCTCCAAACCTCCTGAATAAAGCAATATAGTTAACAGTAAGTTTCCTTTGGGTAAAATGAATTCAGGAAGAACTCACAGTCAGAGAGCTTCAGAGTCTGTGACTTAACAAAACTGAAACTGTTACACCACTGTTCCTACAGAAAGTAGCTAATGCAAGATATAAACCTACAAAGAGAATTCTGAACCCTAAAAATAGTAAAATCTGCTGTTGGCCCTCTCTAGAAGTCAGCATCTCCTCCACGTTTCAGCACGCTGATTTTGGCAATACTGTAGCTCCCACAACTAACTACTGAATCTGCTGTCCTTTTGAAAAGTATATGATTCATACTCTCAACCAAATACCTCCTTCTGAGTATACAGGCATAAATATACAGAGAATTTATATTTATTAAATACCGGGGATTAAGTGGTAGAAAACCATAATTTAACAAAAAATGAGGAAATAATTTCCTATTTATTAACAATAAACACTAAAAAATATTGCAATCAGTAACTGGAGCCTTCAGGGACTGAATGGTATTACTACAGCTGCGAACTGAATGTTTTCAATGCGTGACTGGACAGGCTGATAAATAAATCTCATGTAAGTACCTTTTCACATAGAAGGTTGACCAGATGATCTTTTGAGGTCTCTTCTAACCTGGGCTCTTCTATGATTCTCTCATTCTACTGAAACTAATTTCCAATGCTGCTATAGGTACCTAAAGTTAGAAGTCTGCAGTTTTAGTATTTGGTTTAGGGCAGCAACCCAGGCTTTCTCTGTACCTCTGTAAAGAGAAAACCTGAAACGTCAAGAAGATGCTTCATCTCACCTGTCTTGGAAATAATTCTATGGAAGAGGAGTCATTTTCTGGAGTTCTTCCCTTTCTTCACCAAGGAAGTCTGCTGTGCAGCTTGGATGCTAAGGAAAACTATGGGGGTTTAAAGTTTTGAAGTTTTTACTTGAATAGTCTTTATGGGCAAGGCACTCGACATTGTGCAAAGCTGAAGGATGCACTCTCCATTACTCTATTCACAGTGTTCTCCCTAGGATGTTATTTCCCTTTTTAGAGTGTTCTTAGTGCTAAAAACTTATAACCAAAAAGCTTACAACCAATGCCACTTCTCAAACTAGCTCTCCACAAATACCTTGTCTGTCTTATCAAATGTGTATTTTACAGATAGAAAAACTATATGCTTATGTAGAAATATAATACACAAATATTAAAGGTAAAATCTAAGCACCACTGGTATTAATAGGATTTTAATGCTTGATATTAGTAGTAAAAAGGATTGTATCACTTCAGCCTAAAACTAAAACCTCTAGTACCTAGCTTTACCACATAATTTAAGTGATTCTCTGAATAATCAGTATGCATAGGTTAATTGCCCATTTTTACTTTCTGTTATATTGATCTAAATCATGACTTCCATTCTTATTCTTACATATTGTGTCAATTGGAAGACTGTTATATCACCATGCTGTTCCATAGTTATTTTTATTAACCACTTTCTTTGGTACAATGAAGTTCGTGCTACAGATTATTTCTACCAGTGCTCTGTGAAATTATAAATTACTCAATCTGCATTGTATACAGGGCCAAGGTTTTTTTTGTTTGTTTTGGGGGTTTTTTTGAAGAAATGAAATCTTATCTTGATATTAATTGTTATGTTATGCACAATTTTAAATGTAAACATCAGATATCATTTCATATTTATTCCTGCACCAACATGCCATGCAAAAAGACTGGCTGTACAGTAGTAAATTATTAGTGGCATATATCTTGTTTTAAAGTACTGGAAAATAAACGTTAACACCATTGTTCTGTGTTATACATATCTATATGGGAAGGTCTAATTTTGTATGTTTCCATGTGTGTTTGTGTATGTGTATGTGTATATATCTATATATATATATTTAGATGCAAGTATAAACAGAATTGTCTTTTTTTTCTTCTTTGGGAAAATTGCCAACATAGTTCCATTTATATTTTAATTTCCAGACTTCTCTACTGAATCTCTTCTGGTTGACTGTAACTTTATATCTGTACTTCTGTTATGTATTTGCAATTTCTAAGTTCATTCATAATGGTTTCAGGCTTTCATGTACCACAGCTTTCAATTTTCTGTTTTTATGAATATCTTAAAATTTGAAAGTTGTTTACCTCACTTCAGTAGTACTCAGCAGAACTTACTTCAGGCAGCCAGATAAAAGCCATACAAATGGGAAGAGGACAAATTGTACTCCTTAGTGGTATAAGAAAACTAAGCTATTAGTTTTAAATAGCTTAGTTTAAATTAGTTTTAAATACCTTCTAAAAAGCTATTTAAAATAGAATGAAATTATATGTTGGGTCACTTCTGTTGTTTTCAAATGGATAATTTCCAGTGTGGTCTTCCTGAATAAAGCACTTTTAACCATGCTGCTTGAAGGATCAATCTAAGACCTACTAATGCATGTCTGTGAATTAGAAATTCAATCATTTGCCTTATCATATCAGAAACAACAGAAATATCATACACTCTGAATGGGAGTGGTACCTGCAGTGTAATTGTCTTACCTATCGTCAATTTGTCAGGATTTATATATTTTATCTTACAGAATTACTGATTAAAAAGTTTGTAACTTAAATATTTTAAAACTTTTTCTAGCACTTCAAGAGTTTTCAAGAAGCCTGACACAGTAGAGCACCAAAAATAAATAAACAATTGTTGAAAGAAAAGTTTATAATTCTGTGTTCTCTGTGACTGAAGAAGTCTTTTCTTTCTGCAATCAGTGGGATGTCATCAAGTGATTAAAGTACTAAAATAAATTAATTTCTAGTCTTACCGGCAGTTATAGTTCTGGTGTTGAGCTACGCAAGTTGCATTATTTAAGCAAGGCAGTAATTCACACGGATTCAGGATTCTCTCACAGAACTTGCCAGTGAATATTGGCAGACAGATACATGCCACATCCTACAGAAGAGATGGAAATTAAAAATAATTACTTGTTGTACCCAAGGCAATACAGAAATTAGTGTTTACTTTCATTAGTACAGAGATCCTAACTAGGACAACAGGGCTTCATTATATTAAACAGTCTACAAAGACAGAACAAAAAGCAGTCCTAGCTTACAAACAGAATTTAGGACAAGTTGAATAGGCATTCCAGCAAAAATTATACCAGAGCTGGGTTTGCTAGCTGGAAATACACCAGCTCTAAATTTAGCTGGGTTTGTCATTTCATAACTGGATCGAAAAGGAACTTTACAATTCATTTAGGGTTTTTCCTCATTTCTAAATTTGTATCAATGTAATGTTTGCATCTATCAAACAGTAACAGTGCACAAGGTACATCAGATACCAAACTGTATTCACTAACTACAGTAGGAAACAAAAAGCTTTTTCCCTTCAATATGAAACACAGGATATATGCTTCTCTACGATGGTGAAAGACATCTGTAATTTACACAGTAAGAACAGTAAGTTATTTTACAAACAAAGTATTTCTCAGAGCTGATACTCTCACCCTTATTTCTCTATATAAAGTAATATTCTTTACTGGTCTTTTGATGTCAGAAAGTATAGGAAAAGTATATAGGGGTTTATTCCCCCAGTGAAATTGCAAGTGTTCAGGTTTTTCTTTAGAATCAGTCTTAAAGCCATGATCAAGAAACTTTGAACATCTACTGGAAGATTTTTATACATATATATGTAAAACAAACTACTGCATCTGTTTGACTATAGAAATGACAGTACAAATTACTATGTGCTAGTATATCTACTAAAAATATTTAGACAGATATTGTATAATTTCGAAATCTATCAGTTTGTTCAGCAATTCAGATGTCTTTTTTTCTCTCTCTCTGTGAGTATGTATCGCTGGAACGTGATACTGAGCTTCTGAATCTTTTTCCACTATTTTGGTTCTGTATAATCACTGCTATTTGCAATAGTCATGCTAGTGAAAATGTGCTGACAATGCAGTTTGAAATATGACCAGATCTGACTCTATTATCAAACCTTTATGAGTCTGCATTAATTTATTCTATTTTACAAGAAGAAATAAGAAGGGGGGGGGGAGGGGGGAATTTAAACCAAGTAAATTAAAACCAAGTATCACAGGCAAAGCAAGAGAATTGGAAACAACCATTAATTAATAAAGATGACTGATGTATCATGTTTTGTATCAGAATATTTTATTAGGGAGAGAGAAAACAGTTAAACAACACTGGTAGTTTCTTAAGTGACCACAAAACAACTGAACTAAAAATGTGGTATTTGGGCTTTTCAACCATAGAAATATTAGGAATGCTACACATTCAGACAAAGCTGTGTTTCTTCAAGAAGCATGCAAAGCTAATTTTAAAATGTATATTAGAATTAAATTGTCTGCCACTTGCATGGAACAGACCCTCCTGGAAGCTAAGTTGAGGCACCTGGGTGACACGGAGGGGATTAGAAATAGCCAATATGGCTTCAGAAGGGGCAAATCATGGCTGACTAATCTGGTGGCATTCTATGATGAAGTAACTGCATTGATGGATAAGGGAAGACCAACTGATGTCATTTACCGTGACTTTCGTAAGGCATTTGACATTGTCCCACACAATGTCATTGTTGCTAAGTTGGTGAGGTATGGGTTTGATGGATGACTATTCAATGGATAAGGAATTGGCTGGATGGCCATTTCCAAAGAGTTGCAATCAACTGCTTGATGTCCAAATGGAGATCAGTAACAACAAATAGTATCCCTCATGGGCCTGTACTGGGACCGGTACTGTTCAGTGTCTTTATAAATTACACAGACAGAAGGAGTGAGTGCACCCTCAGAAGTCTGCACATGACACCACGCAGAGTGGTGCAGTCGATTCACTAAATGGAAGGGATTCCATCCAGAGGGACCTTGATAGACTTGAGCAGTGGGCTTGTGAACCTCATAGGGTTCAACACGGCTGAATTTAACGTCCCGCACATGAGTCAGGGCAATCATCAGTATTGGTATGGGCTGGATGATGAATGCATTAGGAGCAGCCCTGAGAAGAAGGATTAGGTGATAGTGCTGACTGAAAAATTGGATGCGAGCAAGCAATATGCACTTGCAGCCCAGAAACCTAACTGTATGCTGGGCTGCATAAAAAAAAGTGTAGCTACCAGGTCTAGGGAGGTGATTCTCCCATTCTGGTCTAGTAAGATCCCACCTGGAGTACTGTGTTCAGTGTCTGGGGATGACAGCATAAGAAAGACATGAACCTCTTTGTGGCCATTTCTGTGACATTCCTCTGAGAAAGGCTGAGTGGATTGGGATTATTCATGCAGGTATAGAGAAGTCTCTGGAGGCTCGATTGAAGCCTTTCAATACTTGAAAGAGGGCCTACAAGAAAGCTGGAGAGGGACTTTTAAAAGGGTCTGCATTGATAGCTCAAAGAATAATGGTTTTAAACTAAAAGAGGAAAAGGGTATATTTAAATTAGATATAAGGAAGATACTCTTTACTACAAGGATGGTGAGACACTGGAAAAGACTTCCCAGACATGGACGCCTCATTCCTGGCAGTGTTCAAGATCAGGCTGGATGGGGCTTTGAGCAATCTGATCTAGTGGAAGATGTCCCTACCCGTGGCATGGGGGTTGGCACTAAAGTCCCCTAAAAGGGACTTTGAGGTCCCTTCCAACCCAAACAACTCTGATTCTATGATTCTATGTTCAAATAGAGATCTCTGAAGCTTATACTTACATTTGGCAAATTGATACATGTACCTCCATTCTGACATGGCCTTGAAGAACATCCATTGATATCAATTTCACAGTTGTGACCAAGAAAACCAACAGGACAATCACAAACATATCCATACTGGTTATACTGGCATATGCCCCCATTCAGGCATGGCTGAGATGCACAAGGATCACCAGGTTCCTCACAAAATGGACCTAGAAGTAATAAACACAAAAAGCTAGGGAGTGTTTGAGTGAATGATGCTTCCTGATATTCTGCCCATAAACATTACCTTCTCACTATGTTGTATCTATTATTTCCCCCTTTTTCTTTTTTTTTTAAATTTTAGGAGGGATTGAGAGGCTTTTATTTATAGTGGTTTTCTGCAGTTGTCTACCCTGTGAACCTCTAGTTACTAACTGGGACATCACCATTTTAAAAGAATTTAGTTCTCTGAAAGAACTAAAAATATTCCTGTTGGTTTATTTCTTTTGGTGAATAAACATGGTAGAAGTATGTGGGAGTGACTAAACTCATCTCTAGCAAAGGGAGGAGAACTGGAACCACAGTTACAGAAGATAGCGAACAGTCACTCAACATCTGTTCTGCAGCAGTTATTATCAAGAAAAGCTGAATTCAGTGGACTTTCATATCAAGGTGGTTGTTCCCATTCCTGTTTATAGATCCAGCCAGCAGTGAAGTTGACTATAGCCTCAGTAGGTGCACAGTCATGCACACACACACAATATACAGACACATTGCCCCCATGGATCAACATAAACACAAACAAGCACTCACATGAGCATGAACAATGTTTAACCTTTTTCTCCCCTCTGGCTAGTCAGTACTGAATTTCATCAGCTAACATATGCACTCCCTTGTTTTCTCAAGGCACAAATAAACCCACATTAATGGGTCACTCAAATATCAGTGCAGGTTTTAAGTCTTGCCTGATATCCAGATCCAGATCCTGAACGTCCTACCAACTTGCTGTCTCAGACCTTAAGTCATTCCAGATCTGGGTATCATTCTAGTTGCAAAAGCCCACCCCTGCCTACTAAGAAGGGTGATAACACAGAAGTAAGTAAAGAAAAAAGACTGCAGTGATCACACACAGGCTCAGCCAGAGAAGCATAATGAGCAGCAGACTGCTTACATTCAACCAGCCTTTTTTTCACCTTTTCTCTGCATTTTCCCATACTTGTACTCCTCCCACCCACCTTGATCCCTTTTCTTCTCCCAGATAAACAACCCTTACCTAGGTGTTTGTCCCCATGGTTCCCAGTTTTGTCACCTCCATATGCAAATTCGGTATTTCTGGTAGTTACCTAGATAACTGTGGCTTTATGTGGCATTACTGATATGGCTACCCAGGCTTTGTTGGCGTTACAAGAAAATAATCCACAAAATGCCCCTGATTCCTCCTTTAATTATCTGTGAAGTTTCTCCATTTCTCACAAAATTCTCCCTTAACCATCTGTGAAAGCTAGTAATCACTCACGATGCTATCTGTAACTTTCAGCCACTCAGTGGTTAAAATCAGCAATTTCCCATGTTCTGTCCAGTAGTTTACTATGTCCTGTTCAGCTACTGTAACCCCAGGCAGAGGATTACTAATCTACCTGCATACCTTAACAGTTATGAGCTAAGAATTCTGGTCAATTAACTTTTTAAAGTGTGCCACATCAAAGAGCAGAATTATAGCACCTGGGAATTTACTTCCATTTACTTCTGGAAAATTATGTAGCAGATATTCTTTTTACATGTCTTGTATTTTGGTACTCTGATTTAAACCTTCTTCCTAATGCATACTCACAGATTACATCAGATGCATTTTTTCAGTAATTTGCTGTGGCAATAACATTACCTTCATAATAAATCTATTCTGAAGTAGAGTATGTATTGATTCTGTGTTTTGTTAGCCACTTGAATTAACTGCATTAAAAATAAGACATTCATAAAAAACAGATTATACTTTCAAAAAGATGTATACTTCCAAAATGGTAAACAGAATACAGAAAATTCAGAATTGTAAACTGTAAAGCAAACATAGAAAATTCATTCAGAACCAATTAATAGGTAAGTACACAAGCCTCTAGTAATTTTCCCACCAACAGACTAGTTATATAAAGTATGTGGAACAATGTTTACCACGAAATGCAAGTATTACACACTCTGTCTCCATTATTTACCAGAACAGCTGACATAACAAACACTATACATGAAAATCCCATTAGCAGAAAAAAGGGTCAAAACACAAAATCCTTTTTTTCACTCAGTTCATTGGAAGTAGTTGTTTCAATAATGCAAAATGCACTGGATCTATCTTTTAGAATGTATTACCCCATTCTCTTTAGCATCAGAGGACATTCAAAGAATCGGTAATGAATTTGTTGCTATCCTTCATCACCATAGTAACCAAATTACCGTAAAAGTACATTGCAACTTGCAGATGTCAATAGAAAAAGCTAAGAAGGCCATTCCTCAGAACAAGGCCACTGACATACATAAGCGAACATTTGAAAAATGAAGTGAGGTGGATTGGTCAATTGTTTTTTTATTATTTAATTATGTATTTAGCTGTCCTGTTATACTTCAGTACTATATTGTACATTTGTAGTACTCACAGATAAGGTTACATACCAATGCTTATTCTTTCTGGGTTTTTTCCTTTTATTGAGCATATCCGACAAGAACAGGTGCTCCTGTCCCACCTATGTTACTCAACAGGAGAAGTCAAATCAGCAAAACAGTGACTCCAACTGCTCTACTCAGAGGAAAGCCAAACAGCGTAGCTCCACAAGCCAAATGGTTTGTAAGTTGTTCCAGCCTGAATCCGTAAAAGCTTCCCCATTTTTTCTGCCACTGTTAACCAAGAATTACTTAGCTTTCTGTTAAACAATGACACTGGATAGGATAAAAAAATGAATGAGCAAAATAACACAGAACAATGAAGGCCAGCTGCGGAAACCAGATGATAGAGGTATTTTTGATACCAGTATGATAATTTGTAGCAAAACCAGGAAAAGGACACTGTTGTGATAAAAAAATAGAGATAGTATAACTTTATTTTAGAGAAGACTAAAAGTAGATGGAAGAGAAGTAGAGAAAAGCCTGAGAGGAGACAAGGAAATGTTAATTATAGCATGAGAGATGTACCAAGGAAAAAGTTCATGGTTGAAGGAAGGCAGAAAAGGTGTTTAACCTCTTTTCACCTTGGCATCTCCTTACAAGGGGCAAAAGTTTGTATTTTTCTTTTTGTTAATTTGGAACAAACAGTGCTTTTAGTATGAATTGGAAGCCAATTACCTAACCAGGTCACGGGGGATCAATTTGAATGAAGATACTGAAGCAGCAACTGCACACATGGTCTAAAAGACAGGTCATGTTTTTCATAGGTCAATCTAGAGTAAATTCAATAAAAAACTCGACCAACTGCCTAATGGATTTTAGGAAGAATTCAATCTTGAGCAGGAGTATTTCCTTAATCATTGATGCTACTATGTCTTTGACATTCCTTTGCTTTAAAATTTCTTGTATTCAGCATCTCATATGAAGAGCAAGAGCAGTGGTCTTTCACTTGAACATCTATGCCTGATGAGTTTGACAAATCAAGTCAATAAAAGGAATTCTGGTGGATTAGTGATTTGAAGCTTTTTAGTCTATCATTCCCAAACCTGATATCACACTCTACCTATTTTCTTAAGTAGATTGAAACGTGACTTGATAACAGCCTTTGGATGAAGGTAATATCAGGCAGTAAAGGGACCGTTAATTCAGAAGAGAAAAATGCAACAAAAGTAAATGAATGAAGAGAGAAGCAAACACAAACGAAGTTAGAAACACCTCATATTTTTACCGGTGAGATCTCTGAATCAGAAGACCATGAAAGAACTGGATTCTACAGCTGCTCATGTCTTAACATCAATGCCTTTTGAAAGATACTATTTTAACCATGTACAAGACAGGAGCCTTAATATATTTGTAAGCAATATAACAAACTTTGGTCAGAATAGATAACAACAGTTCTTCTAAACTTGCAAATCTACTTACCTACTTGGATTCTAAACATATACAAAACCTCCTAACAATTGTGTAAAATTGGGAATTAATTCCAAATTCACATTACAAAACTTACATGTTTCTGTCATCATCAGTGCCTCCTGTTTAGGTATGTTAAAATAAAAACTTCATAGCCATGCTAACATTTACTGATCTCTTGAATGCTGTTGTTAGAAGCAAGGTAAAAAGTGACCAGGATAAAAACAGGTATGTATAATCTGGAGTCAAATGTGTACGCCTGCAGGAGAACAATATTTAAGCAATGAACAATGCAGCTGGAAAGAAGACGCTGGTCCAAACTGCAAGTGAATATTGAAAATGTTTGTACACATTATGGAGACCTGAGACTTAAATTAAAAAAGGGCAAGGCAAATTCTTTTAACTGCATAGATCTGATGCATAATTTCCTATTTTACTTTGATATCAACATAGTATATAGGCATAGTATTTGACATAGGTGCTGGGTATTTCTATTGCCAACAATTTCAACAGAAGTCATTCTTGCCTCAGTCAGACCCAAAAAGAGACAATTGCTGAAAGCATTCACTGATAGATGATTAACAACTCAAAGCTACGGTATATTATTCAAATTCTCAGGAAAATAAATGTAGAAAACATATTCTAATGGGAGATAAATGATTCAGGAAACTTTCAACTTCCATATGAAAAAAAAAAAATAGTTACCAGCTTGACCGAATATCCTGATTAAACAGGAAAATTAAAGAAATTAAAGACATCACCAGCAGGATTGGTTCACCATGGTCTTCCAATACAGTGACTTCTTGTTTTATTTACTTCAATGAAAAGAACATGGCAGATTAAAAAGCAGCAATGGGTAAGTAAAGATTATCCTACAGACCAACAAGACAGTTAATGAATTTTAGTTTAAGGACCTGAACCTTATTTCCAGCATCTTCATTGCTTTGACACGTGAAGAGAATAAAACCCTCCACCAAAACCAAATGACCAAAAAAATAAAAAAGGCAGACCTTTCTTGTTTAACTGTATCCCTGCTAGTCTTCATTATTTTCACTACCATGTAACAATTATAATCCAGTGAAAGTCCAAAGACATTCCTGACACCATCGATAAGCCACTGAATTTCTTTAGACACCACATAGTGCCACTTACAAAAATATCTGGGGTTGCTGATTAATACAGTTTTTATTTTTAATA